TAATTTATATAGTATTTTAACAACAGTCTCCACAAATTTCTATACTGATATGTTATCTATGCCTAATCGTTCCTACTACTATAGATACTGTTACTATTTACACTTTTCTAACAATAATCATGATAATTTGATCTCCCTATGTTCATATAGTGTATTTACTTGAGCCGGTTTATATATGTGCCGGGTTCGACTTTGTTTACAAAGAACCAATTATTCAAACGAGAAACTATATAATAAATATAAGATGTTAAAGTACACAGGAGAAATTATAAATAAGGAACTATATATCATCCAAGTCAAGTTTACATCTTCATTGATTCCGAGAAGTAACCAGTATCATAGTTGTCCAAGTCTTTGGTGCAAGATAAATTCAATCGATCAAGTTGCAATGTACTCACTAGTCTAAGTGACTTCACTTGTGTTCACTATGTTGAGATGTAAGGTGGTGGCTGGAGAGTTTCCTGTAGACTATCTCCAAATACCACCTCACATCTTATATTAAGTTCTACGTTATCAATAATTAAGGGATTGATATGTTACTACTTAATAGGAATGTTTAACATGCGAATCAGTGATGAATAACATTGCAGGTCTTAGACTAAACTGATATTACAAGACGATGAATAAATATATACATACAAATGAGAAAAAATAAACATTAGTTGAATCAACGGTAATCTGTTATAATTATCTATCTTACATTTAATTTATTTGTACCTACACTTGTAAATACATAAAATTACAGTTACGTAACAAGAAGTGTCTACGAATATATTTCTGAATCTGCAGTTGGAAAGATGAACTACTGGATTTCAGTTCAAAGTTATGGAGATTTCAAACTGTACTCTATGTTTGATCCCTAGTTCAGATGAAACAGACCTCCATTGTGCTTTCTAATTTTCATTGGTTATTCACGTAACATATGTTTTGGCGAAATTATAATTTATGGACGAACCAATCAGGTATTAGATAATAGATCTCGGATTTTGGGTGCGAAATTCATTCATCCATTCGGCTAAATAAAGTCTTGGCATTATAGCTGATGTCAGTTCGTGATGAAAACCCCCAAATCTAATTCCTAACCTGAATCATCAACTGTAAAACATAATTCAAATTCCTCACACAGGTTTATAACTCTCATTTGGTCCTAGATATTATGTGGACACTCTCAAGGTCAGTCTAGCGTCGCCCAAGGGTTGTCCATAAGATATAGTCTCACCTACTTTTTTTTTAATTATTATGTTTTGTCGTGTTCAAGTAGACTAACAGAAGTTGGAATAAGAAAGGACAAGTAATAAAATACGATATAACATGATTTTAGTTAAAATCTCCCCTATCAACTTAACAATATGTTGTCCATTTGCTATGCTACTTAGGGCAAAATTAATAAATACACAATGTAGTTTTTGGAAAAAAAGGAAGGTTAAATGATAATTATAAATTCATTAAGAAAAGAGTAGGGTAAACACTAATAACATCCTCTATACATATAAATAAGCAAGTTTATCAGCATTGGCAACAAAAACACACCATTACATTTCATTAAGAAACTGTCGTGCGTTTTTTTTTGTAGAATGTACTTTATAAACAATGAGTTTCATAGTTTTAATAACATCATAATATATGTTATTGCATAGAGAAATATACAAGTGACCACCCAGAATCCCTATTGACTTTTATATCCGTCTATTTCTTAATTCATAAAAGAAAAAAGAAAAAAAAAAGAAATTGGGTAAAATTCTATGTCAAAGTGAAAACTATGTTCACTTTCTTGTTTTAGTTTCGACAAAAGTTTGTGTAATTTCACATTCGTTCAGATTACAATGATTGTCTATGTGTGTGTGTGTGTGCACCTGTACAAATGAAGACTGATCGATTGGTAAGTTAGTGAATTATAAGGAGGGGAAAAATGATACATACATAAACCGAGTACATAATATCAAGAAATATCTGCCTGATAACACAGAAATAACTGGAATTTATTCAGATTATACAATTAATAAATGGTTTATTATCAGTAGAAGAAAAAAGAAGCAAGGATACATATTCGATCCTATTCCATACTACTACTAATAATAATCTGATATTATCACTAAAATAAACCTTAATCTAACATCGACTATCGTTTCAAGGATTAGAGATTGATAAGATGATGAAATAAAATCAGTCAGTCAAATCCAACATAGAACCTACCACTTGTGTACATCGGTCCAAGTTGCCAGAAACTTAGCACAGTGAAATGTAACTGTCAAGGCAAATTCTAGAGTGGTAGGGGTAGCCAGGGAAGTCCTACTCACTGCCTTCTCGCACCACGGGTGTTGTTTACGAAATTGAGAGGACGAAAAGCGAGTGTTCGGCGCTTTAACCGGATTCCAAACCAATGGTGCACATGGGCTCCAGTATCCTGAGGGAACAAATGGCATATGAACCAATCGTTGGTCACCGGCTACCATGGGACCACATATCCTCACGATGCTCCACTGCCTTGTGGGTCAGAATCTTTAGGTCAAAAGCTCGGGGTGTGGCCCCCTAAGAAAACCACGTGGTTCGGTTTGGGCACCCGGGCAGTATCACAGGTCTCACACAAATCGAATGGTTTATGTGGCGCATATCTACTTGGTGCCTCCTTATACCGATGTTTATGTGTTTAAATAAAGAGGTAGTAATATTATCAGTGAAGATAGAAAAAATTAGGCATAAAAAATATGATTCAAGAAGAAAATATGGGTTATTGGAAAAAAAATCTACAAGATCAATGAAAAATTTTAATTTGAGGGAAGATAAAGAGTGAATCCATGTGCCACATTGTGACTGATTATGAGCTGTTACTAAAAGACTCTAACAACTTGTTACGAAAATAGTGCGGACCTCAATCAGGTTCAGTTCAATTATCAGTTTCTCCATGGAGTGATACTGGTACCACATCTTCATTTGGACGCCTTTACGTTTGTTCTAATCTAATTCTACTTCTGAGATTTTTCTATGTAGAGGTAGGTAGTGAATGGAGCATACATAATACATCCCCCGACCACTTCAATAGATAAAGATTTACTACTTCACCAATTCATTTTCCATTCTTACCTAATATCCTGAGTATAACTTCAGAATCGCTAACTCGACGGTACCAACATAAAGAAAGTGTTCTGAAGGCAACTATGATCGAATACTAGTGATCTACGGGCATCTATTTTTAAATGCCGTTTGACAGTTAAAAAGTACAACAGATTGAACTGCTGATTACTAACAATGTAAAACAAAGAAATAGAAACAAAATTTCAATGAGAGTAATGGTAAAATAAACAGGAAAATACAGCTCATAAGAAACGAATGTTATCAGAGTGAGAAGTATAGAATAGTCAGTTATGAAAAAAGGGAGCTTAGAGTGTATATTCTTACCTTTACCCTAGAATAATAAATATTGGCGAAAAAAAAATCAGACTCACATTTAGTATCTAGTAACAAGGATGAGTAATATATGTTCAACAACAACAACAACAAAAAATTGATCAACACTTGTTCAACTCTAATCTGAAACTTCTTTTCTTTGTTTTCTATAACTGATTAATGGATTGAATGAAATTCAATACTTTGAAATATCACAATAAACATGATGTTGTGTCTCATCGAAATTTTCTTTGAATGTTACTACTATTAATTACGTAATAATTATGAAATGGAAACAGTTCTAAATGATGATGTTCTTTACATATTATAAAATAAATAATAACATAAGCATCAGAAGGGTTTTTGTGGAGATTGTAGTAATTTTAATAATTGAGATCATGAGTCAATTGAAGCTAGACCACCATAGAAAACCTGCTGAGGAGTCCCACAATAGGACGAAACGGCCGTCCAGTGCTTCTAGGTTTTCTATGGTGGTCTAGCTTCGATTGACTCATGATCTCAACTATTGAAATAATATAAGCTTTTATTAGTATCAGTCAGTCAGCAACCACGTAGAACTTCGTACCTACGTACATCAGTTCGAGTTGCCATACCATATTTGCACAATTGTCGATTCAAATCCTGTAGCAGTAGAGATAGTAAAAGCATAAGCAGTAATTGGAAAGATTAAGATTTGAAGATGTTATTCAAGGTTTATAATAACTTTAATGTCTCCTCATCTGCGGATAAATCTTTAGCCTTTTATCAGTATAATTACTTAATTAGTATTATATATTAATGCGTAAAATAGTTTAATGAATAAATTGAAATTTCAGGGGAAGAAACTGTCATGAAGAATTTGACGCTCAAATGCTTTTTTTCCTATTCTGGAATGAAATTAAAATCTTGGAGATAAAACACTGAATAGTTGTTATTGAGACTCATTCACAATTAACCATTACACTGATTTTCAATCCTTATTTTAAATTTTTCATAATTTTGATGTTTGGGTTATTTCTCTTTGAAAAAGCTTGAACAAGACTGTCGACTGAAACAATGGAATTACTTATTATTAAGATTTTGTTTAATGATTACTAGAAAGATTGTTAGGTAAATCATACAGTACAAAACCAATAAAAACATAAAAGATAAATGTAATCGACTTGTATTAGTTGTTTGAATCTTTCCATTGATGCTTAGGACTGTAATGGATCAATCTTTTTGGTATGAGTGCATCCTATGCGAATTGTCTTTATGACACAAGTCGATATAGAATAGATTAAATATGGCTAGCAGACTTGATGTTCACTCTAGAACTCAAACCCAGTATCGTCTGCTTCAAGAGAGACTGATGAATTTCAGTCCTTAACATCAATAGGAAGATCCAAGCAACTAATATAAATGAAGTACATTTCCCCCTAAATGCATAAGCCAGTGGCTATATAGACCTAGTAGCTAAGTAGATAACGTGGTAGGGTTTGAAGCGAACGTTAATAGGTTAGAGTCACGGAATGGACATCAACTCTGGTGCGGGTACATCCAGATGACGAAACAGGCGTTCTGAATTATGTGGTTAGCCACTATCTATTTCTAGTTATAAGAAAAACGTAGTTAAATCAATACTTACCACTTGTACAATTGTTAAGACAATTTGGCCACTTGAAGCATATACATGATTTGAAATTATCCATATTATTATTATTATTATTATTATTATTAATTGTTTGTGGTAAATTTGACTTATCGACATAATGATTATCTGATAATGATAAGTCAATATCTTTATTGTCTTGTTGTTTTTGTATGAAATTACCATAGTGTTGATGTGCTGATGGTGTCGGTTTCAAATTCTCGGCATTTACATTATGAAACGAATATTTGTAGTGAATGAAGAAAATGAACAAGGATAGTATTAATGTGTAGATGTTGATGAAATGTTGACTTGAACTGATTAGCATTTCAGCGAAATCTATTTTTTTCAAAACGGAATAAATGAGAAAAAAACAGGTTAATGAATCATTATTATCAATTTGTAACTGGGGTTGGGGGGTAATAATTAAACTATAATATAGATGTAATATACTATATATATATATATATATATATATATATATATATATAATCATACACTTCTGAGTTGGTGTTCATAGAAGCATGCTGTCTGATATGATAGTAAAATGTTATGTGAACTCTTCTATACAAACAATCAAACAGGTACAACATAAGCAAACTGAGATAGTCTCATTCAGTCGATCAGTTAGTCATAAACAGTGTAGATCCTGGCATATCATTTTGAATTGTCTCACATTATCACCGTCGTAAGGTGAAATTGTCAAGACGGGGTAGAGAAAATTTTGAACCCTCTAATTGGATGAGATTCAGCATAATTATTTTGACCAATCAGTATCCAGATTGTCATCGGCGTCCTTGGGAGTCATTGGTTGCTAATTGATTACAGTATTTCTCATTACCCTCTGCTGACTCAGAAAATGACTATCCTTCCCGATCAATTGCAGCTACTACTTGATCGCCAGCAGCAGCGTTTCAGAGAAATCCAGTTGAATGTTTTGGACAATTTACGCATGCGACTGTTAAATCTCCCATGTTTCGGAGATGTGAAAGAAATTGATGAATTAATTTCTCATTTACATACTGAACTCGAAAATGACTGCAGGACGTATGAAGATGAAAACAAAAGCCTCTATGAATCCATTATGATCAGTAATGCAAACGAGGCAGTCGCTCATGATCCGTCTAGCGATCCAGAATTGTCCAATTCAGAAGCATGTCCTGTTGTGGGTTCAAATCCCACTGTGCCTGAAACATGTGAGGTATCCAGCTTACAAGAAGATGCTCTTGTACCAGAAAATGTGTGAGATGCACCAAATGATGGTCAGAAGTTTAATACAATTTTGATAGATGTTAATTATCCCAGTGATCAACTATCCACAAATAAGATTTTCAAGGAATTCTATGATAATGTTCCAGAAGAATCGAACGTTGATGACCTCATATCAAGCGACGTTGGTCCACACTACTTAATCACTTTTAGTGACTTCTCTGTTCCATGTGACAATTATGTGTTAAATAAAGTCAAATTAATTTTAACTTGGGTATATGAGGACCCAACGTTATTTCGCGGGGGAGGACGGACGCAGAAAATTTTAAAATCCAGATATTAACTCCGGATCTTTCAAAAAAGGGGAGGTGTTAGGATAGTCAGAAAAATATACCAATAATTATCATGTTAAGTCTATGGTGGCCTTGGACCTTAAATGTACATTTCCTATTGGTCGATGTTTATTTCACTTGTTAAATATTTTGTAAATGTTGTTTCTTATTTTATGGTACGATGTGGTTTGTTTGTTTGGTACTTATCAAACCCTGCAGTCCACACGTTACAACAAGAGTAGTACTTGGAGAAGGAGGAACGGCAACAGTATTAGTGGTAGTAGAAAACATTAGGCATATATTGTATAATTCCAGAAAGAACAATAAATTTGCAGAAAGAATTATAAGATGGTTTTGAAATTCAAGATCTAAAGGAAGATAAAGGGTGAACATATTTAAGCTATTAATATTTTTTCTGAGCTACTAGGTTCAAGGTTACCTACCATTGATCATCAAAATAGTGCGCAACCCAGTCAAGTTCGAAATTACTTATAAGCCTCAGTCCAACTATCAATGCCTAAATGTAAAGTCTTTGTATGACTACTTTTAACTTGAATTCAACTTACTTCAACACCTGTAAACATTCTACACTGAGATAACCGATGGTTCTGTATACACAATACTTGGAAACTTGAAGTTATCAAGCTTTAATATCTTTTTTTAAAATCTGCATTAATCCTACATTTCATTTATTTATTGTCATACATTTAAGGTTCTTTATATTTTATATCTTCTTCTAATCCCCGACCGTTGTTGCTACCTTGACGTGGTTGTCGGGCTTGCCTATCGTGATGAAGCAACCGAGCTATACTGGTTGGAACAACTGTTCCTCAAGGTCCTACCATGTCATATAGGTCGGTTGAAGAGCGGTAAGACTAAAAGCAACAAACTCAAGGTCCAAAGGCGAAGCTGTATTACTGACTGTACAGAGGTGTGACAGCAGTAAGGTGTTTCCTTCAGACAACCAGCATGACAGCGATGCTGCCTTCCCACAAGGAGGGGTGGGGTTAGAAAAGGTCGACTCTAAAAATTCACACCTCGCCTTATCCCACGGATATCCGTCTCCGGCGATAAGGTCTCAACAAGTACGGAGCTAACACGAAAATTACCCATAAAAAGGTCGTGTGTGACCGACCTCAAGAACTGTCCCTTGGGCACTACAGTCACGCTCTCAGGTCACTAAGACCACCTCTAATCCAATTTCTTTTCATGTACCTCCAGAAGAACCCTTTCACGGTGTGGGTAACCGGAAGTGATAACCGCTCTCATACCTCTAACAGCACTCAAGACCACTGTATTTATAATCAACCTCCTCTTCAATTCCTATCATTCTTCTAATCAACTTTTAATTAACTCTCAATTATTATATCAATTGAATTAGTAGTTTGAAAGTTTTAAACACACACACACACACACAGAAACATACAAGTAAAACTTAAACATTAAATTATGTTAACAAATTGTTCTTTGTGTAATTGTGTCATTTCTAACTAATACAATATTGCGTGTCAAGTAATATTAATAATAATAATAGTGATAAATAATAATAATGGTGATAGTAATAATAATAATAATAATAATAGTAATGATAACGGTAATAATAATGATGACGGTAATAATAATAGTAATAATAATAATGGTAGCAATAATAACAATTGTAATAATAACAATAGTAATAATAAGTAATAATAGTAATGACAGTATTAATAATAATGGCAATAATAATAGTGATAGTAATAACAATGGTAATGATAGCGTCAATAATAATAATATTAGTAATAATAATAATAATGATAGCAATAATAATAGTAACAATAATAATGAGAGTAATAATAATAGTATAAGTAGTAGTACTCGGAAGTTGAAAACATTCATCAATAAAACAAAAATTAATTCCTAATTAATTTATCCGTGTTTTCAGTCATTTCTATAGTGAAAATTAGATCATATCACATTATGCAAAAGATAAGTAAACAATGATATACCTATAGATATCAATATGAAGGTTAGATTGAAATAGTTTCAAATCATTTAAGCATTGGATAAAGATTTAATAACAGAATATATAAAATTATTTGTTATATTTTAATGAGTAGGAAAGAAAAATTGTATTTCTGATGTTTCGTGACTTCATTTAAGTTACTTCTTCAGAGTAAACAAATAATGTGTTCATTTAAATTAATACAAGTTGAAATAGTAAAAAAAAAGGAATTGGTTATACATATAATTCATTCTTTATTATATTTTATCACTTATGTGAAATAAACAAATAAATAAATAAGAGAATAAGTGAAAAAGAGAATTAATTATCCCATATATATACATTAGAAGAAGTGAAATAATCAAATTACCAAACCAGTTCATTTATTTCTATGCAAATTTTATTCTGTTCATTTTTATAGTTAGTATTTTCAATTAACTAAAAGAACTCTATGGGATAGATACATATTTATGGACAAGATAATAAGTTGGATAAATGTGATAAAATGGATTGAATATGCTTGTGTGTGTGTGTGTGGGCGCACAACGATTAATCAATAAAGGAACTTATATTTAAGGAAATTAACTAATAAAATACAATTAAGAGAAAAAGAAACAGTAGACAAGCATTAATAATGAGATGAAAAGGAATGAAGAGGAAAAATGCTACTATCCATAATGATTGACAGAGAGTAGTTTATGATGTGAACATTTAAATCGATCAATCCCAAAACAACACGTAGTAGTAATTAATATGTGCCTACTAGTGACTAACTTTGAAACGAAATTACTGGAGCTCTAGTGAAAAGCTGTAAACAGTACAGTTCACCTGTGTCCGGTTTAAGGTTAAGAGCTCGTTTTGATGTTTGGCGGCCCTCAAGCTAATCCTATCGTGGATGTGTACTGTAAAGGAGTCCCGTGACATAATGAAGTAGTTATCTAGTACTTACTAGTTTTTAATGGTTGGCTAACCAAAGTTAGTCAAAGAGAAGTTTGCAATGTACAGTGTAGATTCCTCTGTTACATTTCTTGACAGACTCACTTGTGAAGTGTTTACTACACGTTAAAATGAAACTAATAAACAATTCTTAACAGTTAGTTATTTGGTGAGTAATGATGATAGGTTACTTCTAATGATTGTAAAATAATGTCAAACGATACGCATTGCATGGTAGTGTTTAAATTCTAAAAATTCTTAAAAATAATTAAGAAATTGTAGGGTAAGATTTTTCTTCTATGTATAAGATAACGATAAAATATTCGTCTTTTCATCAATCAATTACAAGCAACGCACAACCTAGCAACTACCTACATTGGATCAAGTCACCTCACCATATCAACACAATAAGATAAGTTATTTAGATAAATGTCAAAGTACTATTAGTAGTAAAAAAACATTGGGCATGAATGAGTTATGGTGGATAGATCTGCCCGACTGTGACCGATTCTAAACTAATATCAGTCAATGTCTACAATTATTAGCTATGATAATCGTACTGACTCTAACGAGATATTTTGCACCTACTAACATATTTTTACATCTATTTTATTAATTCCAGACTAATACAAGAGGGAACAAAAAGTAATTTTTGTTATTGAAGACCGATATTCTTCAGTGAATACATACACTTACACACACCTGTCTTATATGTAATTAGTAAAGTTTCTAATTGATGATTATCAATTATATTTTACTGTAAAACACTTAGAAACAACTTTTTTTAGAACTTAAAAACTTAGTATTTATTCTTTCTTGTTCAGATATATACATGTTTTACCAATTAATTGTTTATATTTGTGTATAAAA